CTCCACAGCTTGATGTGCCACAGGCTCCACAGCTTGATGTGCCACAGGCACCACATGCTCCACAGCTTGATGTGCCACAGGCACCACAGGCACCACAGGCGCCGCAGGCTCCACAGCTTGAAGTGCCACAGGCACCACACGCGCCACAGCTTGAGGTGCCACAAGCTCCGCATGCACCACAGGCACCACAACCTGAAGTGCCACAGGCACCGCAAGCGCCACAGGCGCCACAGCCTGCGGTGCCACACGTTGATGTGCCGCATGCACCACAGGCACCACAAGCGCTGCAGGCGCTGCCACATGCTGGAGTCGTCTTGCAGCACCTGTCAATTTCGGCGATGCACTTGATCTGGGCTGTCGGAGTGCCACAGCCGCAGCCGCCTTCCGGAGTCTCCATCCAGACCTTGACGTACACATCCTTGTTAGTGCATGTGTTGAGTACTAGGTGCTTCGCCATTTCATTGCCCATTGTATCAAAGGTGTAGGCAAGGTTGTGGTCAGTACCGCATCCCTTCGTCACAAGGCCAAAACCGTCTGTTAGGCAAGGTGGGTTGGTCATCCTCATGCACCATGCCGTGTGATCCCATGGTGCTGCAGTGAGGTTCGCACCGTCCCATGCCTTGTGGCCAGGCTGGTTCCAACACTCCAGGTCCGTCAGCCAGCCTGTGATCGAAGTGCCGCAGCCACAGCCACCAGAGGCACCACAAGCACCACAGGCGCCGCAGGCACCGCATGCGCCACAGGCACCGCATGCGCCACAGGCTCCGCTGGCGCTGCAGCCAGGGCATGTGGGCATGCTGCTGGAACCGCCGCAACCACCGCAACCGCCGCAACCACCGCAACCACCGCAGCCACAGCCACTCATGCGCCGGTCCATCACCTTGCTCCTGCTCACATGGCGGAAAATCTTGTGATCCGGGCAACCTGGTAACTTCTCGCCCTTGCGGGCAGCGGCGCAGAGCTTGCCCTTGGCGTCCTCGAAGCCATGCAGTTTTCCCGGACGGTAGCTGAGGCAGGGCGGCATGAATGGGAAGGTGGAGGTCAGGAAGTAGGCATACTCTCCGTTCTCCATGCGCATGCCGTGGCAGTCGTCGAGCTCCGTGAGGTGGTCGTGCTTTGGCGAGCGGAGCAGCTTGCCAGTCTTTGGGTGGTAGGGGTTGTAGATGGGAGCACCGTCGAGGGCCACTGCGATCTGCACAGACACGGAATGTTTGGGCCAGGCCTGGGAAGCTGACCCATCCTCGCCATGCCACCACGTGTGCACAATCGGCACTGCAGAGCCCAATGACTTCAGCAAGCACACGGGCGGGAGGTGGTAGTGGTAATGCCCTAAGTGGTCTCCATGTCCTCCACAGTCATCATACTCATGCACCGGCTTGCGGTATGCAATTACACCCTTGGAGTTGCGTTCGTAATGGTCCAACACCAAGGGGATGCCGTTCTTGGCGAGTCCAACGACACCAAAGGAGGAGTTCAGCATCGAATGGCGCTCGCGGATTCGGAGGGCTGGAGGCTCGAAGTGGTACTCGCGGGAGAACGGTGCGAAGGCATTGTGCGCTCCTGCCTCCAAGGTGCAGAGCAGTAGGATGGCACAGCGAATCATGGCCCGGTGGAGAGCTGCCGGGCAGCTTGCAGGCAACTACCACAGAAACAGAGCTGCTCACACCTTGGGCCTTGCAGAATTTGATTTCGGGCTAGTGACTTTAGTGTGCAGCGTTCTGCAGAGCGGTGATGGGGCAAAGCGAGTCAGAATGGCCGGGCCAAAGGCTCGGAGCTCCCACAGAAAGGGCTCGATCTGCCGACGCCTTGGCTGTCCAGAGTTTGTGCTTAATTTCCGCCTTGCTTGGTTGTCTGCTAGAGAAGGGGTTTACGGTCATGGGGGTCATTCTAGGGATTCTTTCTCTCACTCCCTACGAAGCACCAGATAGACTGTCAAAGCTCAGGCTGCGACTATGGAGGGGCTACAAGAGCGAGCAGGTGTGCGGCTCAAGGGCAGGCGCCACACACTTTGTAGCCAACAGAGCATGCACAGCAGTGTCTGGATGCCTTCTTCTGCACAGGCAGCAATATTGTAATGGTTTGAAAGGCGGCATGGGCTGTTTGTTGAACCGAAGCCAGCCACTCTATTGCAAACTCCTTCGTAAAGGTTACACGTGTGCACATCGCCACTCAATGGCAACGGAGGCGGTCCTTGCTCGCCGATCCCCCGTCGCCAGGCTCGATCGAACCCTAACACTACTAATTCAACCAGGTTCTTCCCGAGTTCTCCAGGCGTCCCCCCGGTCGTTGGGCAAGTGTGTGGACAAACAAGGAGTTGCCAGCAACAAATGTCAAAGCGCCCTGCAAAGAAAGCATGATACTGCTCGCAAGTTGTGGCACACTGAAGCCCAGAACGTGCAGCTCATCTCATTTAAATACTTCGTGTCTGCAGCTTGCCTAAAGGGCATAAGTGCAGTCTCGACATGAGATCTGAAAGATGCCTTGCAGGAGCTGGCCTCTGTGAGAGGTCGAGCCGGCTTGCCCTTGCACCTAAAGGGATGGCAGCTGTTAACCTTTGCAAAACATTCAGAATTTCAAGGGCATTTGGGTACTAGTGGAAGATGCAAGAATGCAAGCCTGCCAACGAGCTTCCGTGGTCCTTTCACCAGGAACTCTGTGCAGGCCGGTGAAGTAAAGCTGAGCGGAGGCTGTCGTCTTGAAGCAATGGCTTTGTGACCTATCACGAAACAGCCAGTCTACTTGACCTTGGGATTCCTTGGGATGCTGCGATCGCTGTGCTTCAGAACATCAGCCCTTAAGCTCTGCCCTTGAACGGGGTCTTGCAGTGTCTTGCATGTTTCAAAAGGACGGGAAAAAAGGATTTGAAGATGCTTCCTTTCCTGACGCAAGTCCGCCTACTATCTAACATGCAAGGCTGGCGCTGCTGCGATGTAAGCAGCGTGAAACATGGCACATATCCTTCACCAACCGCCATCTACAGGCAAGTCTATTCTTGGCTCTTCCCAGCTTCATCCCTGCAGTAGTCCTCATATTAGACTCCCCAAAGGTAGTTTCCATATTCTTTCCATCCCTTCATTCCTTGCTAAACAGAGGTAAGGCTTTGTCTGAGTCTCGTGAACTCACGCCCTGTGCAGGGCAGCTCGGCAGCGCTGGCTGCTGAGCTAAGCTTTGGACATGCACAAGGGGTCGGGTAACAGGCCAGTCCAAGTTCTTCCAACGACTGAGAGTAACAATAGTATGGTAATAGTAGTACCAATAGCAATAATAATGATGGTAACAAAAATAGTAAAAGTAAACAATATTAATAGTAATAATCGTACTAATAAAAAAAAAAAAGTACTCATTGTAGTAATAGTCTTTCTTTGAAAGGAACCAACTTACGTAAGAACAGGACTGGGCTGTCACGGTGCTCTCTGGCACCTCACAGATAAGTCAAGTGAGCAGGACCTGTCCTGATATGGCCTGCACGACTTGCAGGCAAGGAATGCACACGCACCCCACACACGCTACACAAAAAAAAACTCTTAATAAAAGCTTTATCGCTACTATTGTTACTCGTATTACAATTATTACTATTACTGCTGTTATTGCTATCCTTGACGAACAAATGAAGTCACTTATACTGAGGATCGGGCACAGAATCCGCTACGAAAGTTGCAACCTGAAACCAAGCCGGCAAGAACTCAGATGAGCCATAGTCAAAGCTCCGTAAATGGGGCCAACTGCAGGATGGTTTAGGGCTTAGGATTTAGGATCTAAACTCCAAAAAGGGGATGATATAAAGGATTGCATAGGGGACTACTATAGGGGATATTGAGGGGGACACTAGGAGTTTAGACTCTGGCTCAGATAGGTATCTAGCCGGGGTTAGCGGACATCTGCACAGAAAGACAGGCTCTAGATCAAACCCTGCAGGCCTTGGACATTTGCAGGCTTCCGGATATAGAGACATTACCACTCCAAAAATCGGAAATCAAAATTGGAAAAGAAAATTGAAAATCAAATGGAGACTGGGGGGCTATGTGGATTCAGTGTTTCCCCAAAAATTAGGGGTCCCGTCACTAAGGATTATTGGGTTTTGGGGCCCAAAAAATGGGGTCGCCTAGTCCGGGAAACTACCACTTCAGGATTCTTTTCCATTATCCCTATACAACCCCTATATCCCTATATAACCTTTATATTTTTACATAAATTCATATATTTTTATGTAACTTCTATATTTCATATAATTTTTATAGAATCAGCATCCCACCCACTGGCTACCGTGCATTAGTCTTTGCTGTCGCAAATAGATGGCAGAGCAACAACCCTCCAACATGACAGCCTTATGCTTTTCGTTTTTGGAGACAAACAATGACCGAGGAATTTGCAAAAGAGCATCCTAAAGCCCAGACCTCATCTTCTGCAGAGACAAGACCATATCACTTCCAGAAACTTCTACTGTTAATGCGTTGCAAGACTTTTTCCTCGCAGTGTGCAGGGCATGTTGGCAAAATCCCTAGCACTAAGGTCTGCGGCCGCGGTTCGATATTCTTAAATCCCGGGTGCTTCCTGCTTACATCTCGTGACCGACTTTGCCACTGCCGACATAAAAAGAGGCATCACCCTCACATGTTGTGAGATAAGCAGCGAGCCGGCGGTCTCGCTAGCTCTCAGATGCGCATGAGCCGCTAGATTCAGGAATGATCCGTACATCTCTACATCAAATGAACAAATCTCTGGACTTCAGCGGCATAAGCAGCTCATGAGCTTGTGCCCAAGTTCAAGTTCACGTTCACCGCTGGCTGCACAGCCAACTCGGAAGCGCAAGGCAATCCAGGTGCAAGACTTGCTGGGGCGGTTGTTCGGGAATAAGGGAAATAAATGGGATTATCTAGGGGGTATGTTCCCTTAATCCCGACTAACCACCAGTACGGACCAAGTCAGTGCTACAGGAGTTCTGGGCCCTTGACGAAAGGTGGAACTGGATGCTCACGATAGACATCCGGCATCGATGCGTCATTGATGACCTGAAGCAACTCCAGCTCTTACCAGTTACTGGGTTGCTGTTCCATTGGGGTATAATATAGGGTATGTGGAGAATCAAATGGAAAAGAAAATGGAAAATGAAATGGAAACCATTATTTAGGGTTTAGGGATTGGGGTTTAAGGTTAGGGTATATTATCCCCCTATATTGGAGAATCAAATGGAAAAAATGGAAAATGAAATGAAAACTGGGGGGAATAGCTGTTCCATTGGGGTAGAATATAGGGTATATTGTCCCCCTGTAACGGAGAATCATATGGATAAGAAAATGGAAAATGAAATGGAAACTGGGGGGACTATGAGGATTTAAGGAACTTACTTTAAGTTACTATATTGGGGAAACCCTATTAATTTCTATCTATAAATACCCATTATAATAACTTAACTTAAGTTCCTTAACAGCAACCCAGGTTATTGGCGCTTAAGTGGGGTGTGCCGAAGGGAGTATAGGTACCAGTATGGCAGATGCATCAGGATGTAGGGCATTGCGTCAGGATTATTATGGCAATCTTATCCCCAATCTTCCTGACGCGCAAGTCAGTCAAGTAGTCCGTCGTCAAGACACACTGCTTCTCGGTACCAGACGCCAAAGTTCACGCTTGCAGGGTGGCTTGGAGGGCCCAGAGGTCCTTCTGAGAAGACCTGGCTAACATGTGAACAAGAACTCCCACATAACTTAGGCCTAAATGATCGAGGAATAACATTTTCATCAGAAAATTATGCCATATCGGGAGATATGTTTCCCCAAGTGTTTGGTGCTTGCGCCTGCAAATTTCCCAGCCCTTCTGGCCGCACAAGAACTCGAAGGGCCGGATCAAACGACCTCACACTGCTACTTCAGGACCCAGCTTGCCAAAAAGGCATCAAAGTAGCAGGGTTATACAGGGGTTATATAGGGATATAGGGGTTATATAGGGGTTATATAGGGGTATAGGGGCTATATAGGGATATAGGGGCTATGTAGGGATATAGGTGTTATAGGGGTTGTATAGGGATATAGGGGTTACATAGGGATATAGGGGTTTATGTAGGGATATAGGGGTTATATAGGGATATAGGGGTTGTATAGGGATAATGGAAAGAAAATGGAAACTACTATGTAGGGTTTCCGGGAGCTAGGAACTTAAATTCGGTACATATAAAAAAGCTGAAACCCTACTATTTACCAAGTATCTACATTATGCTAACTTTGCTTTATATGAGGTCCCTCGCGGCAATACAGTCTCCTGAGGACCAGACACAGAGACTCCATAAGCTCGCTTGCTCATCAGGTCCCTCATGCGACCTAAATGGCCACGAAGTCACGGACCATTATTACTATCATTACTAGTATTCGTATCACTATCAGTACTATTATTACTCTTGCTATCATTACTATTATTCCGATTCCTATCATTACCATTATTCCTATTTCTATCATTACTATTAGTAAATTATGATTATTATTAATATCACAATTACTGCTTTTATTATCTGATGGCACACACTCGCTGCGGAAGTTGCATGACTGACAGCTTGTGAATATTGTAGTGCCTTTTTGAATCCCGCCTAAAATGTGGCCCCTCATTTAAAAACGCGAGCTTATACATTTGTACCAAATGTGACCAAATGGCTATTTCTCAAAACAACCCCGAAAGAATGTTGTGTAATCCCCGGGTTTTTTGGGGACTCCCTTTTCGAGAAACCCCCTGTATTTCCGCAACCCCTTCACCCACCGTCCCTGCTCAAGAACACGCTCACTCACTGCTGACAATCCGCTGCGCTCTGCTGCTACAAGACTTCACCTAGTGAAGAAGGAATCTGCACAATGAGTCCCTTCTGCAGTGGTCTCAACAATTTGTAGAGGGTCTATATTAGAGTTTGTGCAAGCCACCATATCTGGAGACTCTCCATGTCTTAGCTGCATCACATCTCCAGCTGAAGAGTATCAAGTCTCCACACGCTTACTGTGTCCACCATGTGAAGGTCAAAGTGCAATAGAAGATGCGCTTGACCGCAGAAAGTGGATCTCCTCATTGGCTCCCTGATATCCGCAAACTGGCCAGCAGTGCTAGCAAAAATCACTCGTAGTGCTTTCTAGTAGAACCTTTGGCGGGCTGTCGATCAGGAACCACGGCTGCCGGAAGATTAAGCAGAAGATCTTGCCAAAGAACCCAAGACTTGCTCCATGGACATCCACAAACAAATGATCAACCTGCCCAGCAGACAGGCAGGGCTCACAAGGCTGCAGGGTTAAAGGGTTCGACTGCAAAACACAGAGGATAGCCTGACTGATATTTGACATACTCGTTGCCATGCATCAACTTGAGACTGCAGCGATCTTCCCACTTCTTCTGGAGAGCCAAACCTTCCCGGCTGTCCTCCAGGAATACCGTCCCTACACTTCAGATTCCGCCAGATTGCTGCTCGCACCTCCACAAGGAACTGCAACTCGCCCAGGCGACGCTCAGTGGCGCCCTGTAGCACGGGACAATTTGCCTGAAGGAAACGGACACAAAGTGCTTCCAGGAAGCCTCCTCGGTGTCAACCATGTCTTGCGCCCATGATGGGAGCAGCTTTCTGACCTCAGCGAACTGTGCGTCGTCGGTCTGCGAAGCGACAACTGCGTCAAGGCACGGAAGGCTCCGGCAGAAGCCTTGTAGTCGTCTACGCTGTCTTCTAGAATATCCATCTTTTCCTGCCACTGCCAGCTTGGGTTTGGGGCAACTAACTTGATCTGAGATGATGCTTCCCAATGGACGCACCTGGATCCGCAGAGGGCCACCACGCTGAGTCATCTTATTCAAGAGCTTCCTGACATTAGCACGAGTCTCTGAGGCGCCAGGGGCATGTCAAAATTGTCATCCCATCTTTGAACCCTAGTATTATTATACAGTCCCCTGTATTTAAGTACCCAAAAGGAAACCCTAAACCCAAGTACTTTGCCAACCTGCCATGTGATGTCCATGACCCCACCTGTTGAGGTCAGCCTGTGCCTGCCGCTCGGCAATGACACGCTGCTGCGCATAAACACGCAAAACCTCGTTGCGGGGGCAGGGGAGTTGGCAACCACTATATTATTAAGGGCTTAGGGTTTAGGGCTGAGGATTTAGGGTCGGACTTAGTAAGTAGGCTAATAAGCGGGATAACTAGGCTTACTAGACGGGTTATAGGGGTTATTAACCTACTTACTAAGTCCCCCGAACCGTCCAAGTGCAGCTCATCTTGAAGGTTGTTGATCAGTAGGGCAAAGGGTGCGGAGTCTCAGGTCTCCCAACTTGCTGGCGGTTAGTAGGGAATGTAGGAATGGAAAACTGTAGGGCTTGCGGTTTCGCACTGGAACAGGGTAGAGAATGAAGGCATAGAAAAAAATGTACAGCTAACCCTTCATCAGGTGTTGGGAGATCGTGCTGCGTAAACATCACGAAACCATTGCAGATTCGCGCTGACAAGCCAGCTCCTTTTTGGGGCATCCAAGGTACTGGAACAGAACTAGAATTCTGACAACCGACGATATGTCGCAGTGGGCCGTGTTGTTTCTCGTGTTTTGGCTTTGTAGGATCGTCCATCAAATCTCTAGACTCTAGCTGAAATGCTGTTTAGATACTGCCGCACCCTACAATAGTCCCCAGATATATTCTAACTGCAGCAAGATACCCTGAATAATCGTCCTCTATACGTCGGTTATAAGCTGGGAGCATGCATCCTCCAACGCAAAAAGAAATAGCAGGCACAAGACGCCGAGCACATCAGATCTAAGCGTTCCACTGTGTGAGCCTACTGTGGCAAGATCTGTTGCGCACGATCCCAAGAAGGCATATTGGGAAGCACGTGCCATCTACAACAATCAAGACTGAATATCAGAGACTAGGCAGGCTCTGGTAAGCAACTGAGCTCGCGGCATTCTTCCTAATTTGATCTTGGAGAGCCTTTCTCTGCGGATCGCAGGAGCCTTGCCTGAAGCTTGCTTGCCATCGCAAAAAGCGAGTTGGGGGACGCAAAGACATCTGTGGCGTTGGCTGGCCAGCTGCGCTATCGAAGGCAGCAAGAGATGCCTGGCTGCTTGCAACTGTCAACGCCTTTCCCTTACCTTTGTGCCTATCGTCATGCCCAGGCCTGCTCAGCACTATCAGCAGCACTGCCGAAGCCAGGCACAGCACGCCCCTCTGTCGATGTCTGGGTCCACAGGCGCAAAGTCTCATCGAAGCGGTTTTGCCTGGGCCGCTTGTTCGCGGCTTTTGGCGTTGCTTCAGAGAATTTCGCGGCAACTCTAAGTAGAGTCAACAGCAAAAACCGTTTAGGCCCAGCTGCCCTGCGGCAAGCGCTTCTGCACAGGCTCCGGTGGCACCTGGACCATTCCATGCCAGGAAGTGCCCACGGGTTCAGCGGTCACCCCCCTATTCCGCTTAATACCCCGCATAAGGCTCCCATTTTTAGTCACCTATATACTCCCTTTAGGGAGTTTAGACTCTAGCTTACGTGTCATGAACCCCTGACCTGCTGCAACGGTGCTAGTGGCGCCGACCGCCCCCTGCAGCAAAGCCATTCCGACGCAAGAGACTTTTTTGGAGGAATGCTGCAGGCCTTGACAGCAACTTCTGCCCGTCCAGGCCTGCAGAAGAAAGCAACATGTATTCATAGTACTATAAATGAATTGCTATTGGCATTATTCTTTCCATGATCATCACTATCATTATTGTTATGCCATTGTTCTGCCAGAACTTTTCAGCCACTGGGAGCCCAACAGCTGGCGCCAGTTCACGATGCCTAGGCCTGGGCAGAACAAACCTCACATCCGGCCAAAAGAGCCACAACAAATCCGGCTAAACCCTAAAACCCTCAAACTCTAGAACTCGAGGACACTAGAACCCCAACACCTCAAAATCCCTAACCCAACTGAGCTCCTAGTATCCCCCTTTATAATCCCCATCATGCTGCCTTGTACAATCCAATACAAAACCCCCTTTGAGGAGTTTAGACCGAAAACCCTGCACCCTAAACCCTATCCAACCCCCTTTAAAGGAGTTCTGACCCTAAACCCCAAACCCTGTATAACCCCTTTGAGGAGTGTAGACTATAGACTATAGCTCACATGGGGCCCCCGCTTACAAAATCTGAGGGCAAGGCCGCAGAGGCACAAGACGGCCCACCGCCAGGATGCTCTGCATCCTCGTAAAAAGGAAAGGAGAACTAGGGGTCTTCAAGGAGGGTCTAGGGGTGCCATAGGGTTAAGGGTTTCCGAGGATTGGGGATCCGTATAGGGGTGATATATATGTATACATATATATATATGCGTTATAGGGTTTAGGCCTTAGGGTACCTTCGCGCGGCTCGCTATAATAAGGCTCATCGTATTTGGGGGTCTATATCGGGGTACTCTAATTTGGGGGAAACTAATTACCGTAATGCAAGAGGTAATTGAGGGAAGCATAAGCCTTAAACCCTATGTGTCCCTATATGTCCCCATTTCTTCCTGTAGATCCCGGTACTCTCATCCTTAAACCAAAGGAAAAGTACAATCTTACTCTTTATTGGGGCCTAGAGAGTCCGTTTGATTGTACTGGCCTTTGGTTAGCTAGGAATGAAGGAATGGACCCTTATAGTAGTCCCTATATAACGCACTACAGTTGTTTCCATGTTCTTTTCCATTCCTCCATTCCCAGCTAACCAAAGGCAGGTGTGTTCAGACAACTGGGGGCCAGGCTTCTCGGCGAAGCCATGGAGCAATAAAAACAAATGCTCTGAAATGCTGAGCTAGGTCTCAAATCCATGGATTAAAAAAAGATGGATATGTTTGTTCTACAGGGAAGCATGGCTTTGGACTGTTGCTGCTGGTAGGCTGTCCCATGAAGCTGCCTTGAGAAAGCAAGCTTCGGGCGGTCGACGATGTCTTCTGCAATATAACCCTAACATACTATGGTAGTTTCCATGTTCTTTTCCATCATCCCCATATCGCCCCTGTGTTTACAACACGTCTTCAATCCTCCGGTTGCTCAGGCTGGGACTCTTCCAGTTATGCAGCAGCTTGCATTCCCAACAGAGGTCTGATGTCCCTGAGCCAGGTCTATCATCTCACTGGCTCTCCTCATACAATTAAAAGAACCACTACTACTAACAAAAACTATTACGATTAATATGACTATTACTATTCTTACTACTCTTCTTATCGCTGTTAGTATCATTACTATTAATGTTACTAATATTTATTAGCAGAGTATTATCTTATCATTACTACTATTGGACCGTGTCTGAGGGCCGGGCATGGGCAACCTGGGTGAACCCATGGGAGGAGGCATCATGAACCCCTGGAAGCCCGCCTGCAGATTGACGGGTTTTGAGTTTAGGATGGTCAAGGGTTTAGGGTCTAGGTTTCAGGCGGAAAAAAACTGGAAAATGGCAACTGGGGCTTTCTGAGGGTCACATAGGGATTAGAGGAAATGCCCACACTTCGAGGTTTGAAAAGAGTTGAACTGCCTGCCCCAGCTTTGGGGATTGCATCGGTGGCGGCGGGGTTGGATCCAGCACCTTAGCAGTCGGTAATAAAAGGCATGGAAATTGACCTTTTGAGCATTCGTTGTTAGCACTAGTCAAATCTGTTGCAGCGGATGTCCACATCTGGATGCGGCTCCGGCACAGGTGGGCCGTAGGCCTCAGTAGAAGCACGCAAGACAGCCGAACAACATGCCATAAGAGAGTGCCGGTATCCAGCCTGGTGGTGTGGCGGCTGATACGGCGGATACTGATAGGGGGAGTAAGCGGACGGCGCAGTAGAATGTGCTGCCACGTGATGTGGGAAAGTCGCTCCCGGCGGCATCTGCTGTGCCGGCATTGTTTGGGCCAAGGGGTGCGGCATTGGCGGGTGCATGGCCGGCCCCGTCTGTGGCATCGGAGGCAACGCATGGGGCAACGGTGCTGGTGGGGGTGCCATGGCGGGGGGCAGGGGCTGGGGCATGGTTTGTGGCATAGGTGGCGGCAGCTGAGGAGGCAAATGCTGCTGTGCAACCACCGGCTGTGCTGGCATCTGCTGGTTCGGCTGCGAAGTCATGACAATAGTGGGCACAGCCTCATACATGTTGACATAAAGCTGTGGTGAACCAGCTGAGGCCAATGAAACTGCGCCTGCATGGGTCCATCTGTTGCGCCAACCTTTCGGAAGCAATATGCACAATCATGCTGACTGGCAGAAGGCGGCTGGGGTCTATGACCGTGGGCCCGTAGATGATGTGCTGGCCAGGAACAGCCTGGCCAAGAGGACCCAGAAACTAGGGGTCTCTTCCTTGCGAGTCCCCAGAACAAGGGATATAGCATTTAAAGTAAAAAAGCGTGACCCCTACTTTGTGGAAATGCCCATAGAGAGAGTCCATCCAACTGCCTGTTCAGCTGGTGGCCCGGCATATGAATGGACAGGTTGGACACTGAGAAGTGGTTTCACAGGCCTCCGCAGAGTAATTTTTGCTGATGTTGGATTGCCACTTCTGTTCCCTTGGCCTGTCCGTCTCTGGAGGGTAGCCGGGATATGAAGGCACGCATGCCTTCCACAAGCTGCGTGAACTATGAAATGCTTCCAGCTGTGCAGGAAACTGCATCCGCTTGCCTGCATTGGCAGAGCTTGCGAGAGCACAAGAGGTGCTGGTGGAACCTACTAGCAAACAAGACATGTATCTGTCAGGGAGCTCATGCAGCACCATGTCTGAAAGCAGAACATGCAGCTAGCCTGCTGAACTGGCATCTGCTGTGACCTGTCCATGACAGCAGCTATGGCAAAGCAGAATGTTGGTAGTGTTTCATCATGCATCTGAGATGCTAGTACCTTTCAAAAGAGAAGCACGACAGGTGAAGCGGCCTTTTCGTTTGCATCACAGGTGGCAGCACTGCTCAGAAAGCACATTCAGAGCACGCACGCCCTGTACAATGGACACACAACGAAAAACCCTGTCACGTTGCTTGGGAAAGAAGGGGCTTCAAGTTGCCAGGAACTCCACGGCACGCTCGACGCTGCCCTGCACATACATGCATGCATGCATGCATGCATGCATGCATACATATATACATACATACATACATACATACATACATACATACATACATGAGGAAAGACAAACACACAGACTGGGATACGTGCATGTATGTAATTACGTTGGTAGCTACCTACGCAAATTCATGCATTGCGGCAAAACATGGCCTGCCTCCGCCTTCACAAGAATCTCCCGGAGAGCCTTCGCAGGTTCAACGATCCCTGAGCTTTTCTTTGTGTGCTTTGTCACATGGCCTCACGCCCACACCCTGCGAAGCCCATCTCCTCAAGCATCTGTACGGCCTGCAACGTCCCGCTTTGATCGCCTGCCAAGCAAGTGCCACCTAGCTCAAACCGTTCTGGTTGTAAACAACAAATTGAGGAAAGGATCCCTGAAGCAGCCCCTATGCAGTTCCCAATGACATATAACATAACAGTCTCAATTTTGTGTTCTACTCCAACATTCTTCAGTAACAACCACGGAGAAATCACAGTGTCTGACTATGTGACAACGCCTCCACCGCCGTGTTTCGATGGCAGGGGCGTGTCGCAGCCTGAGCACTTAAGGCCAAAAAAAAATCCCGGAATGAAATGAAGTGTATGTGTGAAACAAACGTATGCGTTTATCTTACACATACATACGTGTGACCGCATATGTGTGTATACATAATACATATTCAACGAATATATGTCTGTGTCTATGTCTATGTAATGGCCACGCTCGTTTTTTCGCCGCACACCCGCCCGATGTCATATCATACACGCGGGCGTAAACCCTTTGACAAAAAATAATAGACCCACTAAAATCTCAACCGCTCGACCTATGCTAAGCCAAATCATACACCCAAACCCCGAAATTCAACCACACGACCTATTCTAGGCCGTCCCGAAACCCACACACCTTAACACATAATTAAAAAAAACATAGTAGGCAACCCGAAACCCCCATCATGAGAAAACGGAATATGGTCAATTCTAACAATTCATCTTTCATAGGAGCAAGGTTTTGCCTTCCGACCACACGTCAATACGCACAAGCAGAGCTTGTTCTAAGCTCAGCAGCCCAGATACCAATTTTCGTGTGACCAAAGCACGCGGCTCCCCGAACATCCATGCTGGTCAAGATAATAACGCTCGTCTAACCAGAACATACGGTTCCCAAGAGCATCCATGCTGGCCGCGGCCAAGATAAAAACGTTCGTGCAACCAAAGCACACGGCTCCCCCGAGCATCCATGCTGGTCAGGACAATAACGTTCGTGTGACCAAAACATACGACTCCCCAAAGCATCCACGCTGGCCAAGATACCTTCCCTCATGTGAACAGAACATACGGCTCCAGAAATCTGGCGAATAAATATATATATATATAGACACATATTACTGTGGATTGAGGTAATCTTGCACCACCCTGTATAAACTCTTACAGTACTTTTGGGGTAGCAAGTGGTGCAAGATTCCTCCATCCATCGTATGACAATACGTCTGTGTGTATACGTATATATGACTCTCAGACATGGTTATTATCATGCAATGCTGGCCCGATGATCAGGAGGCGGCGACGCAAGTGAAGGACCAGCTGGCGCATGCTGTCCCCAAAAAACTGCCCACAGCGATGACATCGCAAATCCTGAGTGTATCAACATCAGGGATGTCTGTTTGCAAGCTGCATCTGCCCACTTAGGCAATGACATGCTGCGCTTTAGGCTGCGGTAGAACAGTACCACGCTCAACAAAGCCGGCAAGAGTGTCCAGGGGTAGGAAGCTGTCTGGACCACCTGGGAGTATTTCAAAATGGGCTACCCTTAGGACCTTTGGAGCCCCAAAGCTATGAGCTACAGTCTAAACTCCTAAAAGGGTGTTACTTAGGAGATTATAAAGGGGAGTATTATAGGCGGGGTCATGAAGGGATACTAGTTACTAGGACTTGTCCACTTTGGCTCACATGGGGCTCTAAGGTCTTGAGACACTCCCACCTGTGAACTCCAGGTAGTGTTGCTGGGTCAGGTCCATTGGGTCTGGCGCCACGAAATCACCTGGGATAGATTTAGGGGCTCTGCAACAAGGAATGTTTCATGACTTTTTTGACATATGTGGGGACTACAGTCCATGATAGTTGAAGATTCTACCCAGGAATATCCCAGTCACAGCTCAGGAGATGTGCAGATAACTGGCGCGAGCTCCCCCTGCGAGATCGCACCCCCACTTGGAAGTCCAGATCAGCACATTCCCTCTTCAAGGCTTGCGTCAAAAGCCGTCCATAGAGACCCAATCGACGGATGGCTCCAGAGTCGGAAGGCCCCATGTCGTGAAACCTCAGCGGCCTCTTGGTCGAAAGGACCTCACACGAGATGGGGCAACCCAGTGGCTATACTTACCCTGTAGTTGTCAAGGGAAGAAGGTCTGTCTGTATACGAACTTGATTCACAGCATTGTGGACCATGTTTATGATTTTCGCTCGATCCTCGTGCATCCCTTTTTTCATGACCTGTGTGTGCTTCAGGAGTGGCAGCGCGTATCACTGAAATAACCTATATATCATCCCCCCAAAATAGCCCCTCCGCATCTCCCCTTGGACCCTGAGCCCTGATTCACATAGCAATCCATTCCCCCACTCCTCCTTAAGTTGCAGCTTGAGGTACACTGTTCTCTCCTCTGCAATGCCTCTAAGCAGCATCTGGGTGAAGTAAATGGGGATGTCTCAGCAGGGAGAACCCTTGGAAACCCCGAGACATTTGGGAGGATGATTATATAATGGACTCTACCCTCACAGGATCATTTTCTAAGCATTTTGCGAAACTCCCGAACAGCACGCTGAGTTCCGCGCCAGGTGAACCGTGCTTTTGGGGCGGGCAACGTACAAGGCCACGAACTCACTGCATTGATGGAAGACCATTTGCGCGACGCGGCCCTTGCCTTTGCTCTTTCGCTGGATGCCAGACAGATTCTGGATCCTTAGATATGGGGTTACAAAAAGAGGAATCCCCTATGTACTCCAAAAAACTACACCCCCTGTTGAAGGGACTCGCAAAAGGGGACCCATTTTTGTTGGAAACCCCAGATTGAATCAGTATGCAGTCCGAGCAGCACCTCCCAGATCCAATCGCCACTTTCGGACTCCACTTCTGCCTGCGCTCCTCTCGGTGGGCAGTACAGTCCGATGCCAGAGCGTCGAACCTGCACAACCGCAGGGTTCTTCAAGGATATATAAGGCCATTTAGGGATGACTTCAAACTTAGGACGGATCCCCATGAACAATGAATAACTCAACTGGCATTCTGGCTGCGCCTCTTGGAAGAGCTCCTCCGCTCCTACGATGCTGGATCCAACCTCCATGTCCAAGCTTACCATGTTCTCCGGAGAAGCCTGAGAAGGGGGGTCTTCCTCAGAAGGGGGGTGTTCCTTTGTACCCTTAAATTTGTGCCCTTGGCTTTGGAATTCCTTAATCAGGGTATTTGAGACCCAACACCCGAGGTTGCAAATGCCATTAAGGGTACCAATTGTGCGCAATGAAACCACGAGTGTACCTAGCCCATCCCACAGAAGAAGGGCACACCAAGCAACACTCTCCAGCTTTGCGCCCGCTTGGTGAGCCCCTGGCCAAATGTGGGAAACATCAAGGTTTCTGAAGCTGAGCTTTAGGGCAGAAATCTTAGGGATACATGGCGAGTACAAGGAACTCATAATTGCCCACCTTTGGGATTAGGCATTGAGTAACTTCGAAGAACTCAGAAGTTGCCCAGCTGGCCCTGCAACCGTCCCTTAACCCTAAAATACCCTAAGCCTCATCCCCAAATCCTAAACCTCAAGCCCTAAACCTTAATCCCCAAAACCTAACCGGAACCCCAAACCCTGAACCCTGCTGAAACTCTCCTGGCTTGCTGACGAGGGTGACGTTAATGACGGGAAGTCCTGGGCTCTGCTTGGGAAGCTGGGCAAGCCGCTCCTGGGCGTTTAGGGTTTAGGCTTTAGGGTTTGGGGTTTAGGGTGGTTTAGGGTTTGGGGTTTAGGGTGGTTTAGAGTTTGGGGTTAAGGGTGGTTTAGGGTTTGGGGTTTAATTGGGGTTGAGGGTTTGTTTGTTTGTTTTGGTGGCTCCTTTTTCTGTCCAGCTGCCTAGATGGGTTTGGGTTTTAGGTTTAGGGTTCATGGGGTTTAGGGTTTAGGGGTTAGGGTTTCATGGGGAACACAGGGAAAGGTTGTAGGCTTTAGGGATTGCTGGATTACAGGGTGATGTAGGGATTACATGAGGATATGCACACACGTGGGACATCACCCCATATTATAACGTGGAATTAAAAGGAAAGCAAATGGACACTGAAGCGAAAACTAATATGGCGTTTACCGTTCAGGGCTTAGGGCCCTTAACCCCAAACCCTAAACACCCTAAAAACCCTAAACCCTAAACACCCTAAACATCCTAAAAACCCTAAACCCTAAACCCGAAACACCCTAGACTGTGAACACCCTAAACACCCTAAACACCCTAAACCCTAAAATCTTGCCGCATGGGCTCCAGCTCGTCTCGAAGCGGCTTCGCATCATCCAGCAGAGCCAGCTGTTGTATCCCTTCCTTACTGGGGGTTAGGTAGGGAAAAAGGGAAAAATGAAACATGCTAGTAAAGGATTATATAAAGGTGTAGGATGTAGGGAATAGTTTTTTGATGAGGGTTTATAAGTGATTAAATTCCCTCATTCCCTCCTAACCAGCAGTAAGCTTCTTCCCGGGAGGTCGACACAGCTAGCTGGACGTCCTCCACACCAGCCGGAAGCACGTGATCACATAGCCTCCGCAGCATTTCGCCTGTTGTCGTGGCTGCATCATTCGGAGAGTCTAAGATAACAGGGCACAGCTTGCTTCCGTTCCTGGCACTCTGCTGCTCCACCAGTTGCGCATCAGGAGTCACGTGAAGCCGAAACTTGTTCAGCTTGCTTGGATGGCTGTTCTCCTCTTTGCTGCTTTCAGCTTCTGCGGCATCGATCGTTTCGAAACCTTGCAGGGGTTAATTCATACAGCTGGGCCAACGAAAAGATTGCATACTAGGCGGTGCCGGGGTGTTTAACAACAGGAACGCCGCCTTCCAGGGCCCAGAAGCGAAAGGTGAGATTGGTGCGCTCCGCATGGATGCCCTCCATGGCAGGTACTGCGTGCAGCCAGTGCCTCTGTGAGTTCTTGCCCATCACCGCCAGCGACCCGTGAAAGAGCGGAAACGTGATGTGGATGATACCCTGCCATGGCACAGTGGAGCCGCGACCTCTGCGCTTCCCACTCCACTCTCGCTTGCTCCTCAGCGGACAGTGCTTTTGCTTGGAGCTCAGGGATGTTCAGGCTACAGTATACCGCGTGGGGTGTTTAATCAAAACGGGTGGGGTTCCATAGACAAGGGCCCCGGCAAAGATCCCAAGATGACATAATCCTCATCATGTGGACTTCAGAAAAGCCCCATAAATCCCCATATATCCCTCTATGGGCCCCAAGACCCAAAAAATCCCTGCACATACATTTCTATACTATCTATGTATCTATCGATCTATCTACTCTATATGTGTATATATACATATATACATATATACATATATACATGTATACATATATACATGTATACATATATACATATATACATGTATACATATATACATGTATACACATACATCTATGTAAATATATACATATTTGGTAACCCTTATGATAGCGACTTCTACGACTTATTACGCCGGGAGTCTTGAAGCTGAAGTCGCGCGTCGCCCCCAGAGACAGGGACCCAATGATGGGATCTGGCCCCAACCCCTCATTCCCATCTGTGTGCCTCAAGGGTCTCTCTACCCGATTATACTATAGCAGTTGCCATGTTCTTTTCCATTATCCCAATATAACCACAATATACTATAGTAGTTTCCATTTTCTTTTCCACTATCCCAATATAACCCGATATACTACAGTACATGATCGTAGTTTCCATGTTATTTCCCATCAGCGTGCCAGTGGATGGTCACCGTGCCATCGCGGTAGTGGTTAAACCAAATGGCCTAAGTTGAGTGGGTCAAAACAAGACAACGCGATTAAATTGCATGAAGCGCAAACAGCCTGGGTCACGAGAACATGTTGCTCTTCCAGATGGGGAGCATTAAACACGGCCTCACTGGCCCCTTCAATCCGTCGAAGTAGAGACCTGGTCCATGGCTCCATCTTCTGGGAGACGTAGGTGGAGGACGCGTCCCTTGAGGTGTCGTATTGGATCCCGAAATTGAAATCATCGCAGATCCGAGCCTGCCCTTTCCTGTTCACAGTCTCCTGAACAATGCCGCTAGGCGTCTGAAAGTAGTAGGTCGCATGATACATGGTCACCCGATCCTTGATCGTGGTCTCCAGTTGACTAGCCTCACTGTCATCCAGGAAATGGGGATACCACAAGATCTCCTGGGCTGCTTTGAGGGCAAGTTACCAACGCAGTAGATCATAGCATTTCATGTATAACAGTGACGCAAAATTATGTTCCTTAACAACACTCCAGTCTCTGTATTCCAGGGCAGGCGAAGTCTGTACGACTTGCCGTCACGCAGTCGATCCTCCCAGTCTGCTGCGGCGACCTATGGGTTTTTTTGGGGTTATATTGGGATAATGGATGAAATGGAAACTAAAATGGAAACTATAGGGATGATAGGGGTTGTATAGGGTGCAGGGTAATATTGGGCTAATGGAAATAAGATGGAAACTACACGAATTGTAGGTGTTATTTAGGGGTTTCAAGCATAACTTAGGTCAAGGATCTTAGATCTCGGGGGTATAGAAGACAAACCCTTGTTTTTGAACATACCCACCTGGTATTTTCCATAAACAAGGGGACCCTAATAAAGACACCCCCAAATTCTCTGATCCTTATTTCGGGACAACAAAAATTGTACAGTACCCAGAACTCTGGGAAACTCCGACCGGCTCCTTCCTAAACTCAACCCTAAACCGCACCTCCTCCCAGTTTAAGGTTGGTAGATCCTTGGCCCGCATCTCTGCAAGCCGTGCCAGTCGCGCAGCTGCTGCCTCTTCCTTCTCGCGCAAAGCCTTTGCTCGACCCCACCCGGAGGAAACAGCGGGAGTGGGCGCGGAGGTGTCAGGGACCTCAGAAGCTCGACGCCTCTCCTCTTGTCGTTTGACTTCCTCCATGGATCGCCTGTTGTAGAAGTACTCCACCCAACGATTGTACAGGGAATCCGCCTGCTCGTGCCCCATCACTCGTACATTGCGATGGTCTTCCCACATGAGATGCTGCACAAGGCATTCGGCTGGCAGAAGATTGCACAGCTGCAAACGATGGCACTTTTGGGGTTCATGCATGTGTCCAAAGATGCAGATTGGACCTTTCGGCGCTGATGCCAAAAGACCCTTCAATAAACGCTTCAGGTCCTCTGGCTCCGCTCCCTCCACCTCTTCCTCCCCAAGCCTGTCACCCCAGTATTCGTATCCTGCACGCAGAACATTGAATTCTTCAAGCTTGAGCACACATGCACGCCTTGAAATGCTGCCACGGTACGCACCCCAACACTTAGCAGCGCTTTGGTGAAATCCTTGCCCCGGAACAGCTGCTCCTCTCGTCCAGCACGTGGGTTTCCACCTGAGCAGGCACGCATCTGCACTTTGACCGATCAAGCCTGCAGTCGTACCACCCAGACTAGGCAAGGCGCGAACGTCTACCAACAGCTTCACATCCAACGAGGAAAGTTGCCAAAGATAAACCTGCAGCTGAGCAACAACTGACTTTGAAGCTGTTCAAAAAGTACACCAGCCCTGCTAACGAGCTTGCTACGTGAGCACAACTCAAGACCCTGGGCCTCCACTGTCACCACTTGCCGAGAGAGCAAGACTGCATGTACATTTTGAGAAATGACACAGGCAAAAGTGGACCTCGCGGCTCACTCGCCAAGTCCCGAGGGTGTAGACCTATCACCAAACCAGCACTGGAGCAATCACCCTTGTTCTTCAGCAAGTTAGTTTCAAAAAAGAGCTGTAGTAATCGCAAAACCCCATGTCCTTGAGACAATCTTCTTGCATTGTGCGGAAACTGATATCCCCCAGTCAGAGCAACCTCTATCGTCGATGAGGTGCAGTGCAACACACAAGGCTTTAGGCTTCAGGATGTTTAGGCTTTAGGATTTGGGGTTCAGGGTTTGGAGCTGAGAGCACCAAGGCCTTCCGTGTCTTTGCATCATCTACTTGTACTGCTGGAGCACCTGGGACATTTGCTGAGAAACAAAACGTCTTCTGTAAGTGGACATGCAGGATTGCCAAAAACAGGGACCCAATGAATGCCTACACATACTCATTATTCTAAGGCCTCCTAACTAGCAGGCCCTGCATTCTGGACACACCAAAATTCTACCCCTGTAACACTCTTCAATAAGGACCAAGAATTCTGGAAACCCCATGGAGGTGATGTGTATTGACCCAAACATCCATAAACCCTAAACCCTATACACTAATCTCCCCATCTAACCCCTATATCCCCTTTAAGGGGATGTATATTGATGCAAGCTAGACTCTTGGCTTTCGGCACCATCTTGTTCTCTTCTCCAAGGCCGCATCTGAGGAGTGTGGGAAGAAAAATAGTCTTAGTCTATATGGGATAATGGGAAAAGAAAATGGAAACTCCTATAACGGGGGTCATATGGGGTTTAGGGTTTGGGGTTATATTGGGGTTATATAGGGATACTGGAAGAGAAAATAGAAACTACTGTTTAGGATTCAGGGTTTAGGATTTCCCAACTTTAGGACTACCGATTTGGAGGTGCCCATAATAAGGACGGTAATATTTTAGGGTCTATATGGGGTTTCCCCGATTTAGGGACACTGCAATATTGGGATCTCTAATACCCCCCTCCAGAACACTGCGTGGCTGTCAAGATTTTACATCAGGGTGCCTTTATGGCTTTGCTTTTTATCGCAAGTGCCATGGGGCTGAGAAAGACATCGGGGGGCCTTTGGAGGGGTCATGAGGGCCACATAGGGTCTCTTACCAAGCATTTAAGGCCTTATAAGGCCTACATAAGGTACGCTTGAAGGGGTTCTAAAGGTTTGGGGGGGGGGGAGGGGGGTCCCTTTATAGAGGTTAGGACTGTAAGTCAGTGTGGTGTACATAAGCGGGGACCACAATTTGGCAAAGCTTATGCAGCAACCCTCAGCCGAGAAAAAAAAAATCGATACTACTCTATATACCCTTAACTGGATTTAGGGTTTAGGGTACATCCCTATACCCCCACAAACCTCCTTTTACCCCTATACACCCCTGACCCATGTAGGTAGGCGTTGCTGCGTGCTAGCAGGCCTGAACCAAGGTTGAGCTGCTCAGCCATCGCATGGCAAGCCAGGAGAATAGCACGCGGCTGTTTGTTTGGGGGATGTATGAGCTATAGTCTAAACTCTTTAAAGGGGTTGTTATGTAATATCTTTGTTGTGGGACCATTTCTCCTAGGCTATTATAGGGGTTAGGGCTTAGAGTTTAGGAGGGTCTAAACTCCTTCAAGGGGGTTATATAGGGGATTCTATTGGGACGTATTATCGGACCTATCAAGGGGGGATGCTAGCAGTTTAGCCCATTGCTCATATGGGCTTAGATTAGGTACCTTTCAAGTTGTTATGTAGGGACATGTAGGGACATGTAGGGTCTCCACTAGAGATGTGTGGGGTTGGAGATCAATGTGCTTGGTAGGAAATGGAAAAGTAGATGGAGGCTAATGTTTTGTCTGAGGTTTAAAGGTTTAGGGTGCTTCGTGGGGATGGAGGGATGGAAAATTGAATACTACTATCTAATTTCATTTGAGGTTGCGTGTTCGTGGGAAATGTGGGGATGTGGGAGCTGGCTCCATCAGTAGCCCCTATATAAGCTCCAATAATAATCCCCATAAGCCATTTACCCCATTCCCCGCTAAACACCCGGGAGTGGTTTATCAGGTGTATACCGGCGTCAGTATCATAGACTGTTGAGACTCTGTTGAGACTAGGGATCGGCATCTCATCATTCGCTCAGCGTGCTTTCGGGTTAGTGCACTACAAGTCGTCCCCCTGAAATTCTTCTTGTATTGAACAGCTGCGGGTCTGCCAGGGTCGGACGTGCTGAGACGAGCTGCAAACAAGTTGGTCTGCAAGCCGTGCCTCAAGTCCAGAGGGTGGAACATTCCGCCAGCCATTGGTGTACCATCCTTGGGAATGACGGAATGGTCTACATCGATTATTGTCGGGGATTACTGTACACTAGGACTGCTGAAGCCATCCGTTCCTATGTCCCCTTCTAACCATAAGTAAGTCATTGCAGGTCTCGGAGAGCGACACGCCATCAAACAGAGTCGAGAAGGGGTGCAATGAGCACGGAGCCTTCTTTTTGATCTTTTTCTTGTTCTTTCGCTTTCGCTTCTCGTGCTCGTAATGACAGAACTCGCAGTTGTACCTGTAACGACACATGCACTGCTTACCTGGATGACCACAGCTAGATGGCAAGCATGCGCTCACCCGTTTGTGCAGCGCCCACGAGGGAAAAAGCAGCACCTGGCTCTCTGTTGCCAGCTCTTCTTGACTGCGGTTCTCCGCTGAACGGAATCAGTTGCTCCATGCTAGTCGTAGCCGCAGTGGGTAGCATACGTCACATGCAAGCATTCGCAGACCGCGGCCTTTTGCAAGCGCCTTCCTCGTGGCCCTGAATACACAGTCTTCGTTGGACCCAGGAAAATCTCAGGCAGCTCTTCAGGCCTCTGAGCCCAGGGACGGATGGATTGCTCCAGCAGGAGCTTTCGGCGCATCCTTGCACTGGGCCAATCCAAGAGTGTTGCAAGTGGCCTGTGCGCTCCCAGCAGGTAGGTTCTGAAGAAGCAACTTGAAGTATGGGAGGCATAGCAGCTTGCTTCCTCTGGGTTGCGGAGATGCACCGGGACAATCTGGTCATCCGAATCATCCTCCTGCACCCCGGTTGACCAAAACGAAATGCTAATAACCCCTATATAATCCCTATATATGAAGTGTAAAGGCAACTTCGTAGAAGCCGAAGGCCTCGTCGTCATCTTGCTCCGCGTTCGTTTGCGTCTCTTCTGGAGTGCACCTCACAAAGGCGTAAGCTCTGAATACCTACCTTTCTGGGGGTCCCTATAATAGGGGCTATAGTATTTTGGGGTCCATATTGGGGTCCCCCCATTTTTGGAAAACTACCATTTTGCGAGCTGTTTGATGTCACCAAGACAGGGACGTTGTGTGCTTGATCACCAACGCTCTGGTTGGTGAAGGTGCGGCCATCACACAAGCCTTGACACAAATGAGTAGTGACTTTTTTGGTGGTTGAACCTAGTAAGATAATATTCCTTATATAAAATACTATACCCCAAAGGAGGAATATAATCTTACTCTATATTGGGTACCATAGTATCCCCAAATAGAACACTACGAAAATGACTCACCTGTGAACTTTGCACTTTGGAGATCCGGGGGCCATGCAGTGAACGCTGCCGCTGCGGCTCCCGCATGTCCCGGAGGCCTTGCAGAAAGAGGCCGGGCACACTCCCAGAAGCAGCCCACAAGACTGGATTATGTGAGCTACAGTCTATATAATGGAGAATCAAATGGAAAAGAAAATGGAAAATGAAATGGAAACTGGGATTATATGATAGGGTTATAGGGGTTATAGTGTAAACTCCTAGTATCTCCCTTAATAAACCCTATAGTAGTCCCCTATATAATCCCTCATATATCCCCCCTTGAAGGAGTTTAGACCATAGCTCATGTAGGGATTGTGTAAGTGGAAAAGAAAATGGTAACCGGGGTTATATACAACTTGATATTCAGCTATGTAGTACAAGGGATCCAACAAAGCAGGAGACGAGAGGCTATGCCGGCTATGCCAACAATGTGTGCATTTAACCCCAGGCTGGCCTACAACCCTAAACCCTAAACAATCCTACACCCTAAGCCGCAAACCCCAACAGTCCTACACCCTAAACCCTAAACCAAGGCACTACTTAGCCCCAGGCTTGGCTACCTTACAGGCAGCGGATGGAGAGGGCGTGCCAACAGGCGACTGCCTCAGCTCGTGATCACTGCCTGGACATGCCCAACTCCTCACGGGTGGTTCGTAGGGAATAAGGGAATATAGGCGGGGGGAGGTCCTATAAGGTTTTGTAGGGACTATGAAGGGGTAATATAGGAAACCGGGGAACATCTTATATAAGGATTATACAGGGGGCATATTCCCTTCTCCCCTACTATCCACAATTGAGCTCCTCCAGGCTAGGATCCAGGCATAACACGCCGGCCATGGACGACCTCTTGCAGCCCAGGCGAAGCATCAGAAATCCACATCAAATGGCAGCTAATTCCTGAGATTCAGGCGGCGTTGGCTGCCGGGGATATGGGCAGCAACCCGCCCTCGGGCTGCCAAACTATTACAATAGTAATTATAATGATAGTTGTAATAATGGTAGTAATTCTAATAGTACTGATAATATCAAAAATAAGAGCAATAGTAACAGTGGAAAAATCTTACAAGGTCCAGCCTGCGGACTACTTTGGGACGGCGTCGGCATGCAGGCTGCCAGGGTCCTGGAGCTTGCTTTGGATACCACTCCTATACAACCTCTAAATGAATCATAATTTAAGCTCCTTAGAGGGAGTTATCTCAGGGACTATATAGAGGACTATTATAGGGGTTATCAAGGGGATACTAGGAGTGTAGACTGTAGCTCAAATAACTCCCATGTAACGCAATATCCCCATAATCCCAACCACCCAGGATGTATGGTAGTTTCCCAAAATAAGGGACCCCAATATGGCCCCCAAAATACTATAGTCCTTATTATTGGGACCCCTAGAATGGTACTCCTAATCTTGGGAAACCCCCGTATTGCTTCTGAGGCCAAACCTCTGCAGGAAGCCGGGGGCATGGTTCATCTCAGCTGGTGCCGTCAACAGCGGATTGTACCTGTCATGCTCTTTGTCGGTTCACTGAAGGAGCACCCAATTATAGATCCAAAAAAAACTATAGACTATAGTCCTTATTATGGGGACTCCCAAAACAGTACCCCCAGTCTTGGTCCTTATTATGGGGACCTCCAAAATGGTACCCCTGGTCTGTGCAGTGCTGAGGGGTCTCACGGAGTGTCCAACTTCATAGCTGAGGGCGTCAGGCCTGAAGGAACCTGGAATGCATGCGACAACACGTGCACAGCGCCGGTACCAATGTGTCCCTACATAACATAACCATAATCTGTGTATAACCCCTACATCTCCCTATTTGCAGCAAACAAGTTCCACAGCTTATGAGGCCGAGGCGTCTATGAAGGTATTCTTCACAGGGAGCGGAATGCCATTGTTGGTGGCACCAAGCCTAGCAAGCAGAACTTGTACGCTGGTAGCACTGCTGAGCTCCTGCTACAAGCAGCCGGTGCTATTCACAAATGGTAGTTTCCCTAAAAAGGGGACCCCAACATAGACCCCAACTTACTATAATCCTTATTAAGGGGGCCCCCAATATGGTACCCTTAATTCTAGGAAACCCACAATTCTAGGGAGCAAACAACGTTGCCCCTTGGACAGCTGGGACGGCGCCATTGCTCCTAGCGCAAGCTGATCGATTTGTCTGTCATCGGATTCCCCATAGTTTCCATTTTCTTTTCCATTAATCCTACATAAACCAATCCTTTTATAAACTCTATATGAGCTATAGTCTNNTAGACTATAGCTCATATCATCCCTATAGTTTTCATCTTTGCTCAGTCGCCGCGAAGGCCTCACGTTCAGGGCGTCATCCGACAGCGGCGCCCTGGGAGCTGCTTGAAGTACTTCGAAGGATCACATCAAAGACTGGGTTGCTGTTAAGGAACTTAATTTAAGTTACTATATTGGGGAAACCCTATTATTTACTATATATACCCATTATGGTAACTTAACTTAAGTTCCTTAACCGCAACCCAGAAGATGACAAGCCCAAGGAGACCACGGTCTTCTTGCCGGCATGGTGGCCGCCTTCCAAAGTACGCTGGGCTGTATGTCTCAGGCTTGATTCCGTCATCTACATGCAGGGCTCGGATCCCTGAAAAAGGACAATTTTGGGGATATATTGGGATAATGGAAAAGAAAATGGAAACTATAGGAGTTATATAGAGTTTATATAAGGAATGGGTTACGTAGGATAACTAATATATAGTATATTGGGGATATTTTGGGATAATGGAAAAGAAAATTGAAACTATAGGGTTTATGTAGGGGTTATAGTTCCCCTGAAGTAGATAGAATACAGGATATATGGGGTTCTTATAATAAGATACCCAAAACCATATTCTATCTACCTAAGGGGCACTATATATATAGATGGATT